TGGGCGTTCATGTACCTAGTGGGGAAGTCAATGAACTGATGCAAAGATACTTGCAGCGTAAGCTCAAGCAGATCAACGCCGAATGCGCCTGACTCTGAGTCGCAAGAAAGATCTGCCCACCAAACCTCTGGGTTGAAGTTGCCCATCACCAAACACTTGTTTGCGGACTGGGAGCGAATGAAGTCAAGTACCTATTTGGATACGCTCCCAGGACTTCTATACACAATTACAACTGTAATCTGAGCCGAGGATGTGCTAATAGCAGTCGACAGGGCCTCAACAGTTTTGTATGCTGACTGAAATAAGCACGTCTTCAGAACGTCAGGTTTGCAGCTCACATAAAGAGCGACGCCACTTCCCTGCCGGCCAGCGGAGCGATCGCGCCTAAATAGTGCGTAGTGAAATAGATGTACTTCACCATCCGTGATGTCCTGAGATAGCCACGTTTCAGTGAATGCGAGTATATCGGGATGAGACCTATCTACAAGTAGACCTAACTCGCACACCTTATTCTTTAGGCTGCGCACATTACTTAGCAATATCTGAAGATATCGTTAGATTCAGATCTGGGTCGTGCGCTACCAGAATGGGCAGTGGTAGGGCGGGAAAGGACCGCCGGCTGACTATCCGAAAACCCACTAACTGGAGACCTTGTTCACCGGCCGCTCGCCTGCTTTTGAGTCCTTGATGGCCACCCTTAGCTTCAGCCTATCGGCCAGCGGAAGTTCCGGCTGAACGCTAATATTTGTACCTTTCAGCTTAAACGCAAACCGCATGAGAGCGCTGCGTTCCTCCGAGGTAGAGAGTACCACACGAAGTAGCCGCGGTCGAGGGTTTGGTACATTAACTGGGACGTTCCCCAGACTAATCAGCTTCTTGACAGTAACGCCTGGAAAACCAGTAGGAAGAAGCTTCGTTACACACATTTTAAACCACTGAAGGTCGTCCAACATGCGATCAGCAGGAAGGACAGCAGTAGACTCAGCCGCGTTACGGAATATAACGCAACTATCCGTGAAAGAATCGCCACGACGGAGTGTATTAACCCCACGAGTCAATGATTCTACACTTGGAGCAGGTGACTTCATCACTGGTGATGGGACTGTTTTCAGCAACGTTCGCAAAGGCCGCGTATGTTTTCCGCTCCATTGTCGATGCCTTTGTCCGGGAGAAAGTAAGAATTGCCTTGGAAATTTCCCATTTTAGCGATTAATCGATTATTAACGATTATCGCATCGATTTCGAACGTTCCTGAATGTTCTTCTTCTACACGTGATCAAAATCCACCTGACCTCTCGGCAAAAGATATGGGGAACCACTAACCTTCCAATTCTAGAAGTCGAAGGTCAGCAGAGACCTATAAATACAGCCGGGGTCCTCAGTCGTTGTACAGTGTTCGTTGGCTGCGATTAATACGTTATTTGTCAGGGTCATTGGCGTTCTGCTTTTTTCCTTCGGTAGGGCTAGAAGTTTTGCGGAGCAGTGAATTGTTACTTTTGGAATTGCGTCTAGTGAGAAGATTATAACAAATGGCGACGGAGAAAAGTGGAAATGTGATGAATTTTTCTGCCGAACAATTTCAAAAGCTGCTTTTTCAACAGCAAGCTCAAATGGAGGCGCAAATGAAAACGATTGAAAATCTGACAAAATGCTTGAGTTTGCAGACAACTGCAGCAGCGACGCGGGACACGCAGGCGAGTTCTGTTGATCTTTTGCAGGGAAGAGAGCAGTGTGTACGTGTGGTCGCAGCTTATCCTTTAAGCAAGCGGTCCTTAGCGGTGTCCCACAGGGCTCGGTCCTTGGACCGATGCTGTTCTCCACCTACGTAAACGATCTCCCTGGAGAGCTTGGGGTATCATCGCTATTGTTTGCTGATGACCTTAAGCTATGGAATGTTGTAAATGTTCCTGGGGGTTCTGAGGCCATACAGCATGCACTGGACAGACTCTGGGACTGGTCTACTTTGTGGCTACTGCCCATAAATCAGGCTAAGTGTTCCGTCCTTCGTATAGGAGCAACTTTCCCGCCTTCGAGCTACGTACTCGGTGGGGTCGAACTCCCCCTTGTCTCCAACCAGATAGACCTAGGTGTCGTTCATTCCTCGTCTTTGCATTCTGGTGACAACTGGAAGAAGGCCGCTAGTAGGGGTTTCAGAATGTTATGGTTAATACGCCGTTCTTTCGGGGTCTTAACTGCCGACATATTTGTGAAGCTGTTCTCAGCTTTCGTCCGGCCCCATCTGGAATACTGCGTCCAGGCTTGCGCGCCCTGCCTTGTTCGGGACAAAATGGAGCTTGAGAGGGTTTTGAGAGTAGGTACCAAATTGGTCGAGGGGTTACGGGGGCAATCGTACCCCGAGCGTCTACTTAGCTTGGGTATGTATTCAATGCACTACCGACGGCTTCGAGGAGACCTAATCCTTACTTACCGCATTTTAACAGGGAAGGTTGGAGCGGACTTGCGCTGGCTATTTAGCCCGGCTAGGTTGCCTTGTCTTCGCGGTCATCCCATGAAGCTGCACAAGCCGCGTTCTGACCGGATCAGGGCGGAAACTCGGTTATCGCGTAGAGTTATCGAGCGCTGGAACTCGCTTCCAGAAAATGTAGTCAGTGAACCTACGGTTAAGGGTTTCGAGCGTCAGTTAGACGCTCTTGGGTGGCAACACGAAACCTTTCCCTTCTCCTGACCATATCCATCTTCAAACTTTCAGTTCTTATTCTGTCATTATCTTCACTCTTTGGTGTTATCCTTCATTTTAATGACTTTCATTCCCCTTTATCTTCCATTTACTTTCTACTTCTTTCTTACTTCACGTAACCTACACAGCGCGGACTGCTAGTGCAGGGAACGTGGGCAGTAATTGGTTGATCAGGGTGTGTTTCGGGTGTTTCGTTTTAGATCTATCAAGAACTAACACCTTATCATTTCCTGGCTCAACGATTTGCTCAAGAAGGAACACTCAAGGGATTTTCCTATCGTTTCAGTCCATCTGAATCTGAATCTTCTCACGAACGCCATCACTGAATTCCATTATGATGCGGATTCTGGAAGCACTTTCGAAGCGTGGTTCAAGCGCTGGGAAGACATGTTCCAGACGGCCTTCAGTCGTCAGGAAGCCTCCTGGAAAGTGCGATTGCTACTCCGCAAGCGTGGAATAAGTGAATATTCAAGGTTCATGGACCACATTTTGCCCAAACAGCCGAAAGATCTGACATTTGACGAAGCAGTGTCGCAGTTGATGGAAATTTTTGGTGAGTCGGTGTCCTTGTTTAGTATTCGCTACCAATGCCTAAAAATTGTCAAACAGGAAGCAGACGATTTTGGGGCCTTAGCAGACATGATTAACTGTGAGTGTGAACGATTCAAACTACGCTCTTTAACGGACGATCAGTTTAAGTGTCTCATTTTCGTCAGTGCTCTACAATCGCCCAGTGATGCTGAAATCCGAACGCGGCTTTTAGCTAAGCTAGAGCAGGACCCTGATCTGACATTGAAGGCCCTCGTTAGCGAATGCAAACGACTGCTCACTCTAAAACACGACACTGCCATGGTCGAACGCAGTGGTCTAGCATCACCAGAAACGGTGCAACTTGTGAAAAATGCCAGGACCGGCAACGCAAGCAGACCCTTCAAGAGGCCTACGTAGAAACCGCCCACAGCATGCTGGTCATGCGGCGAATGGCATTTCGCTCGCTTTTGTCCCTTCAAACATCATTTTTGTCGGACGTGCCATAAGCGTGGGCATAAGGAGGAATGGTGCAGTCAAGTCCGGTCGAATAAAGTGCAGAAGTCTTATCGAAAGGTTAATTCTAGAAGGGGCGGTGCTGAGTCTCTCTCAATAGTTGCCGCATTCCAAAGCGAATGTAAACCGAGACGACGATTCATCACTGTGTTGATCAATGGTATTCCGACCAAACTGCAATTTGACGCGGCCTCAGACATCACAATCATTTCCAGGCGCATATGGAATCACATAAAGAGGCCGAAGATGGTCGAGTCTCAGAAAGTTGCACGTAATGCATCCGGCGGTGTGTTACACTTAGTGGGCGAACTCAATTGCAGGATTGCTTTCCAGGGTGTGGAGAAGTTGGGAACATGCTACATTTCGGAGCGGCCGAATTTGAATCTTCTTTGCCTCGACTGTATTGAAAAGTTGAACCTCCTTGATGTTCCCTTTAATCAGATCTGCAACCGAGTTCGAGCAAGTCCAGACCCATCTGCAAAGTCCGTCGAAGACATGACACTTACCCTGAAGCGAAAATTTGCTTCTGTCTTTCAGGATGACTTAGGCCACTGTACGAAATTCAAGGCAACACTGAACTTGCGAACAGGTGCTAAACCAGTGTGCAAGGCCAAAAGACCAATACCATATGCAGCCATGTCAACCGTTGAGCAAGAGCTCGATCGACTGGAACGTGCCGGGGTCATCACAGTAAATAAATAAATAAATAAATAAATAAATAAATACTTTATTCTCGACTATGCGAGGCACGCCCATGGAGGCATGATCAGATATGTACAACTGTACAAACATTTTATGGCAACTATGACAGTAATAGTAGAAAATTGGTCGTATGTCCATGGTAAAATAAATAAATAGATAGTTTATTCTCAGTTTCATAGAGACGCACCAACTTAGGCATGATCAAGGTTTAAAACTGTTGTGTATCACGATGATACTCCGAGTTCAATCGTGTATAGTTGAAACGGTGTCAAGAAGAGTTGATATGTGAATCTAGTCGACTTGCCAGTATGTAGTTGTGGGCTGTGACTTTATTTAGTGGCGAGTCACATCCGCCACGTCGCAGTGTTGTTAAACAGACATTTGTGGCTTTTTATAGGGAGAACGCTTGCCAGGCGAAAACCCACCACGTCCTGCAACACTGCCGTAAAGCATTTTGAACATTAATGTTGAACTGGCAAAGCCGCTTGACGACTGGTTTCACCTTCGGTTTTTCGCGGGGTAATGGCTTCTAATTTCCTCTGTTAGTTGGACGGGTATTTTGCTCTGGGTCGCCATGATTTTTGGGGTCGCTGGAGGAGAGGGACATCGCGATTTTTCTTCTTGTTGTATGTCCAGGTGAGCAAAAGTTTCAATTTTTCCGCTGTCCAGATTTTTCAGATGTATACTGTATGGGAGTATGAGGATATGTCCAGTTCTCCATACTGGACAAGGGTTATGGTGATTGTAGGTTGGTCCTTGCGGAGTTTTACCATCCTCCATGTCAGTCCTTGTGGGTTGTTCCGTCCGTCTTGGGCCAAAATTGTTCCTCAGTCCAATCCCAGATCTCCAAGATGTCCCGGACCTCAGAGAAAAGGGAAAGTGGGAGACAACCGAGAGAAGACCGCAAGAACAGGCATGGAATTGAATATTGTTAATGTCTTGTGTTATAACATTTGGGCTTGAGACAAAAGCATGTACACTGTGCAACAATAATTATGCTGAAAATGTCTTTTGAGTATCCTATAGAATCATTAGCCGTATAGGTGGATTGCTATCGCCTGCGTAGGGACAAGAGCGTTGCACCAGTAAGTAAAGTACGAGTATCCGTTTGATATGAGTCGATAGTTGCGTGGGGATAGAGCAAAGAGAGTTAGAATGTTGGTAGTGATTGTCAGGTGCATGAACAGCACGTAGTTAGTGTAATCCGAGTGGGGGGCATAATAAGCGAAAATAAATAGTTTGCAGCGAGAGAGTCTTAAAGCTCAATTGGTGGCAGGGCAGCGGAGGGACTGGATGCAGATATTCTAGAGGAGTAAAGGTTATTCAGATACGGGGTGGCTACTAACAAGCACTGGATCATCGCATATGCATGGGGCCAATGGCCATTAGCTACTTCTGAAGAGAAATGCAGAATTTATGACGACCGACAGATGTTGGCGCTAGGAGTGACTCAGTCGCCAGATGCAGCTATTCCAATCGGACGCTTTGTCACTAGTGTATGCCTATAGGGTCGATGAGTGTATCTATAGGCCAGTGAAGGTAAGTGATAGGTCAACAGATCAGCTAAGCTGTGACGCAAACAATCCAAGAGAATGAACATTCTAAGAGGGAGCGAGCTCCGGATATCCGCAGAGTTAAATGGAAGCTATGGCGACTAGCTGCTGGTAAGCAGAGATAGTGGCTCTAGGAAAGAATGAATCGGTGGCTGCTGTAGCCATAGTATTAAGACGTTTGTCTACTACTGGATACCTACAGCTTTGTTGAAGAAGTCAACAGGCAAGCGAGGTTTAAGCGAGACATACGGCAGAAGAGAATGAAGGCTGGAGAGTCAAGAAGTGGCTCCTTGTAGGCTACATGGAGCCAACAATGTCTAGCTATTGTCAAGAAGAGTTGAGGCGAGTAAGATGAACGACGGATAATGACGCGCTAGGAGAGAGAAGAGTGACCAGCAATAGAGTTTGGGCTAAGCCTTCAGTAACTAGTGGATCCTACGGTGGCACATAATAGGTCGGCAAACCATCTGAGCTGTAAAGCAAACAATCCAAGTGAATGAATATTGTAAGAAGGGAGCGACTCCCACAGAGCTCCGGATATCCGCAGAGTTAAATGGAGGCTATGGTGACTAACTGCTGCTAAGCAGAGATATTGGCTCTGGAAAAGAGTGAGCCAGTGGCTGGTGTAGCCATAGTATTAAGACGTTTGTCCACTATTGGATACCTACAGTTTCGATGAAGAAATCAACATGCGAGCAAAGCTTTAGATAGACAGACGGCAGAAGAAAATGAAGGTTGGAGAGTTAGGGAGTGGCTACTTGAAAGCTACATGGAGTCCACAATGACTAGCTGCTGTCAAGAGGAGTTGTTGCGAGTGGGACGTACGGCACATAACGGCGCGCAAGGAGAGAGAAGAGTGACCAGCAATATAGTCGGACTGAGCCTTCAGTTACTAGTGGATCCTACGGTGGCACTTAATAGGTCCACAAACCATCTGAGCTGTGACGCAAGCAATCTAAGAGAATGAACATTGTAAGAAAGAAGCGACTCCTACGGAGCGCCGGATATCCGCAGAGTTAAATGGAAGCTATGTCGACTAGCTGCTGCTAAGCAGAGATAGTGGCTCTAGGAAAGAGTGAACCAGTGGCTGGTGTAGCCATAGTATTAAGACGTTTGTCCACTATTGGATACCTACAGTTTCGATGAAGAAGTCAACATGCGAGCGAAGCTTAAGAGAGACAGACGGCAAAAGAAAATGAGGGTTGGAGAGTCAGGGAGTGGCTACTTGTAAGCTACATGGAGCCAACAATGTCTAGCTATTGTCAAGAAGAGTTGAGGCGAGTAAGATGAACGACGGATAATGGCGCGCTAGGAGAGAGAAGAGTGACCAGCAATAGAGTTTGGGCTAAGCCTTCAGTAACTAGTGGATCCTACGGTGGCACATAATAGGTCGGCAAACCATCTGAGCTGTAAAGCAAACATTCCAAGTGAATGAATATTGTAAGAAGGGAGCGACTCCCACAGAGCTCCGGATATCCGCAGAGTTAAATGGAGGCTATGGCGACTAACTGCTGCTAAGCAGAGATATTGGCTCTGGAAAAGAGTGAGCCAGTGGCTGGTGTAGCCATAGTATTAAGACGTTTGTCCACTATTGGATACCTACAGTTTCGCTGAAGAAATCAACATGCGAGCGAAGCTTAAGAGAGACAGACGGCAAAAGAAAATGAGGGTTGGAGAGTCAGGGAGTGGCTACTTGTAAGCTACATGGAGCCAACAATGACTAGCTGCTGTCAAGAGGAGTTGATGCGAGTGGGACGAACGACATATAACGGCGCGCTAGGAGAGTGAAGGGTGACCAGCAATAGAGTTTGGGCTGAGCCTTCAGTTACTAGTGGATCCTACGGTGGCTCATAATAGATCAACAAACCGGCTGAGCTGTGACGCAAGCAATCCAAGGGAATGAATATAGCAGGAAAGGAGCGACTCCTACAGAGCTCCGGATATCCGCAAAGTTAAGTTGAAGCTATGGCAACTGGCTGCTGCTAAGTAGAGATAGCCGCTTTAGAAAAGAATGAATCGGTGGCTGGTGTATCCATGTCATTAAGACGTTTGCCCAATACTGGATACCAACAGTTTCGATGAAGAGATCAACATGCGAGCAAAGCTTTAGATAGACAGACGGCAGAAGAAAATGAAGGTTGGAGAGTTAGGGAGTGGCTACTTGTAAGCTACATGGAGTCAACAATGACTAGCTGCTGTCAAGAGTTGTTGCGAGTGGGACGTACGGCACATAACGGCGCGCAGGAGAGAGAAGAGTGACCAGCAGTATAGTCGGACTAAGCCTTCAGTTACTAGTGGATCCTACGGTGGCACTTAATAGGTCCACAAACCATCTGAGCTGTGACGCAAGCAATCTAAGAGAATGAACATTGTAAGAAAGGAGCGACTCCTACGGAGCGCCGGATATCCGCAGAGTTAAATGGAAGCTGTGTCGACTAGCTGTTGCTAAGCAGAGATAGTGGCTCTAGAAAAGAATGAATCAGTGGCTGTTGCAGCCATAGCATTAAGACGTTTGTCCACTATTGGATGCCTACAGTTTCGATGAAGAAATCAACATGCGAGCGATGTTTAAGAGAGACATACGGAGAAAAAAAGAAGGCTGGAGAGTAAAGGAGTGCATCCTTGCAAGCTACTTGGAGCCAACAATGCCTAGCTATTGCCAAGAAGAGTTGACCAGAGTTGGTTAACGGCGCGCTAGGAGAGAGAGATGGCCAGCATTGGAGTTACTAGTGGTTACTAGTGGATCCTACGGTGGCACATAGTACGTAAGCAAACCATCTGGGCTGTTGCGCAAGCAATCCAAGAGAATGTATATTGTAAGGAACGAGCGACTCCTACTGATCTCCGGATATCTGCAGAGTTAAATGGAAGCCATGGCAGCTAGCTGCTGCTAAGCAGAGATAGTGGCTTTAGAAAAGAATGAGTCAGTTGCTGGTGCAGCCATAGTATTAAGACGTTTGTCCACTATTGGATGCCTACAGTTTCGATGAAGAAGTCAACATGCGAGTGAGGTTTAAGAGAGACATACGGCAGAAGAAAATGAAGGCTGGAGAGTCAAGAAGTGGCTCCTTGTAGGCTACATGGAGCCAACAATGTCTAGCTGTTGTCAAGAGAAGGTGACGAGAGTAAGATGCACGATGGATAACGGCGCGGTAGGAGAGAGATGTGGAGTCGGGAAGAGAATAGTGTCGAAGGTAAGAAGAGGCGATTATATGTGGTCCGGTCCAGTTTCAAAAAACTCTTCTTCAGGACAGTTTATATTCAGTAGTTTGGGAACTTGTGTGACAGAGAGGTATTTGCTAATAGAGAAGCGGAACTGGTTTATGTTCATGGATGCCCTTATTGTGAGAGGTAACCTACTCCATACGTGTGCGTATCTGTAGAGGTAGAAGTTGGAGCGAATGCTGCTGCGCGTTCTTGGTAGGATAATGGAGTAGGGTCTATCACGTAGGGGGTACGAAGTGATATATGAGTCTGTGACAGGGGTGATTTGGCTCCCACTGATGTTGTTAATGAGCGAGTATAGGAAAGCGAGGTTGGTTTTCAATCGGCGCAGCCATAACCGGTCGAGCTTAAGCGTGTGGCACCGATCACGGTAGCTGAGACTTGAGTGCCCCAGGAGGCGTTTTGTGAAGGTACGCTGAACCTTTTCGAGGGCTATTCGGTCGCATTTTCTAAGGTTAGTGAATACTATAGAGCAGTATTCTAGCAGGGGTCGGGCACATGTTTTGTAGAGCACAGTTCTAGATTCCTGTATTGTCATGGTTTTGAGGATGTAACCGATGAGAGAGCGTGCTTTAGCTGCGGAATAAGTTACTCATCATGGGCCGCACCTATCGTCGCAGTGAAGAAAGCAAATGGCACGGTACGCATCTGTGCTGATTTTTCAACTTGCCTCAACACCGCGCTGAACGACCATCAGTATCCCTTACCTGTACCGGAGGATATTTTTGCAAAGCTGAATGGTGGTGAGTACTTTGCAAAGCTTGATCTATCCGATGCTTATCTGCAAGTGGATGTTGACCACGTCTCGAGGGAGTTGTTGACGATCAACACTCACCGTGGGCTATTTCAATACAACCGCTTGCCATTTGGTGTGAAAACGGCGCCAGCCATCTTCCAACAGTTGTTGGACACTATGCTAGCGGGTGTTTCTGGAACCGTTGCTTATCTGGACGATATCATAGTGATGGGTCGAACACCGGAAGAACTCTTCAACCGCTTGGATGAAGTGTTTGGTTGCATACAGTCGTACGGCTTCCGGATCCGTGAGGATAAATGCACATTTTTCACGCCGCTCATCAAATACCTCGGGTTTATCCTCGAAAAGGATGGACGTCGACCAGACCCGGAAAACATCGAAGCCATTAGAAAAAT